CACAGAGCCCTGACCTCAACCCCATCAACAAACTTTGGGATGAATTGGAATGCAGCTGTGAGTCAGGCCTAATCGCCCAACATCAGTGCCTGACCTCACTAATGCTCGTGGCTGAATGGAAGCAAGTCCCCGCAGCAATGTTCCAACATCTAGTGGAAAGCCTTCCCAGAAGAGTGGAGGCTGTTATAGCAGCAAAGGGGGAACCAACTCCACATGAATGCCCATGATTTTGGAAAGAGATGTTTGACGATCAGATGTCCACATACTTTTGGTCATTTAGTGTACTTGTGGCACTGTTAGTTCAGATAAGAGAGAAAGGCCAGTTCCTGTTGCGCACTGCAACATTACCCAACTTGCAATCTAAGCGGAGGCAGTCAACATTTTGCAACTATTTAACCATAAACGTTTAAAACCTGGAAGTTTTTTGTCATTTTATAAGGCGTATTACTTTGTTCTGACCATAGGAATGTTAAGGAGATTATTTTATAAACATATGCCATTGAAATCAGTATTTCCCTCATGTTCTCAACTGTCTTTTGTTGTCCAGCAGCCAAAGACACAATCTTAGTCATGTTGCAACTTAACAACCCATGTTTGTTGATGCGTCTTTAGATCTTCCCTGTTTCAAAATTTCTAAAGGATATTTTCGTCTCTGCCATATGAAACCGCTCGCATTTGCGGTGCACTTTGAAGATATTTTTTTTTTTACGCTAATTTCAAATTTGGAACATTCGTACGTATAGCCTACTGCCATGTGCGCATTGCTGCGCTCATTTGTGAAGAAATAGCCTAATAGTTTATCAACATTTTAAGCTAAACGCTCTGATCTTCAGCCTCATTCCTTTAAAAGGTTTTTTGATGTACAGTGGTTGTATTAATTTGGGATCTCCTACAACTGTTCCAGAGTAGGCTATGTTTTAAATATTTATTTATTGCACAGAACAACAAGCTGACCAATAGAATAAGTCAACCTTTGTACTATAGTGGATTGCCATAGGCTAGTGCTTTTGCTGTTCGTTACTCATCTTGTTGGCTGACGAAAAGTAAATGTGGACAGTTCTAACATCTTCAATATGCACCTTGTTGCTTCCCCGATGTGTCTGTTTTCACTTGTAGCCTACTTCGGAGCTGCGATGCCTGTGAGAAGGACCCGATCACATGACGGGCATTGGCTAATAAGAATTGAGATATCTGAGAGAGCCATGTGAGTGAGAGGTGCTTCGGAGCACAGCGCTTGGCAGCCGGGAGAAGGGAATTATAATTATTATATTCAGCCCAAGTGCACAACGACCACTTTGGCCGCAAAGCATGGATTTTCTTAGGGGGTATTACGGCCACACATTATGACCGCTGGGAAATTCAAGGCCTGACCATGATAGTTCCTTAGTGATGTGGACACCGAGGAACTTGAAGCTCTCGACCCGCTCCACTAGAGCCCCATCGGTGGAATACGGGCGTGCTTGGCCCTCCTTTTCCTGTAGTCCATGATCAGTTCCTTTGTTTTGCTTACATTGAGGGAGAGGTTGTTGTCCTGGCACCACTCTGCCAGGTCTCTGACCTCCTCCCTATAGGCTGTCTCATCATCGTCAGTGATCAGGACTGCCATCGTCCTATCATCAGCAAACTTAATGATGGTGTTAGAGTCGTGCGTGGCCTCACAGTCGTGGGTGAACAGGGAGTACAGGAGGGGACTAAGCACGCACCCCTGAGGGGCCCCCATGTTGAGAGTCAGCGTGGCGGATGTGTCTACCCTCACCACCTGGGGGCGGCCCGTCAGGAAGTCCAGGATCCAGATGCAGAGAGAGGTGTTCAGTCCCAGGGTCCTTCGCTTAGTGATGAGCTTGGAGGGCACTATGGTGTTGAACGCTGAGCTGTAGTCAATGAACAGCATTCTCACATAGATGTTCCTCTTGTCCAGGTGGGTGGACAGTGTGGAGTGCAGTAGAGATTGTGTCATCTGTGGATCTATTGAAGTGGGTCCAGGGTGTCTGGGATGATGGTGTTGATGTGAGCCATGACCAACCTTTCAAAGCATTTCATGGCTACAGATGTGAGTGCTACGGGGCAATAGTCATTTAGACAGGTTTTTTAAATTAAATGTTTTACCTTTATTTAAACAGGTAAGACCAGCCTATAGGTTACCTTGGCGTTCTTGGGCACAGGGACTATGGTGGTCTGCTTGAAACATGTAGGTATAACAGACTGGGTCAGGGAAAGGTTGAAAATGTCGGCTACGTAAAGCATCCGGAACAGCTGGTGCTCTCATGCATGGTTCAGTGTTGCTTGCCTTGAAGCGAGCATAGAAGGCATTTAGCTCGTCTGGTAGGCTCGCGTCACTGGGCAGCTCACGGCTGGGTTTCCCTTTGTAATCTGTGATAGTTTACAAGCCCTGCCACTTCCGACGAGCTCAGAGCTGGCATAGTAGGATTCGATCTTAGTCCTGTATGTCACGATCGTCGTTAGATGAAGCGGACCAAGGCGCAGCGTGATATGCGTACATTCTTTTATTGCAGTACACAACACGAACCAAAACAACAAAACAAACGATACGTGAAGTCCTGGGTTGAATACAAACCTTCCGGAACAAGATCCCACAAATGACAAGTGCAAAACAGGTTGCCTAAGTATGGTTCCCAATCAGAGACAACGAGACACAGCTGCCTCCGTTTGGGAACCACCCCGGCCAACACAGAAACACACGATCTAGAAAAGAACACTACACATAGAAACTAACACCCTGGCTCAACATATAAGAGTCCCCAGAGCCAGGGCGTGACAGTACCCCCCCCCCAAAGGCGCGGACTGCGACCGCGCCAACTAAACCCAACAGGGGAGGGGCCGGGTGGGCACTCCGCCTCGGAGGCGGATCCGGCTCCGGGCGTGACCACCACTCTCTAACATCCCGCCCGTAGCGCCCCTGGTCCCGCTGGCTGGAGCTGGACTGGACATCGGTGGAGCGGATTGCTTAGGCTCTGGTGTGGAGCAGCTGACCGGTACCTGACCAGGCACCGGTGAAACAGGCACGGGCTGTGCCGGACCGACGACGCGCACCACAGGCTTGGTGCGGGGAGCAGGAACAGGCCGGGCCGGGCTGGCGACGCGCACCACTAACTTAGTGCGGGGAGCAGGAACGGGTTGGGCCGGACTGGGAACACGCACCACTAACTTAGTGCGGGGAGCGGGAACGGGTCGGGCCGGACTGGGAACACGCACCACTAACTTAGTGCGGGGAGCAGGAACGGGTTGGGCCGTACTGGGAACACGCACCACTAACTTAGTGCGGGGAGCGGGAACGGGTTGGGCCGGACTGGGAACACGCACCACTAACTTAGTGCGGGGAGCGGGAACGGGTCGGGCCGGACTGGGAACACGCACCACTAACTTAGTGCGGGGAGCAGGAACGGGTTGGGCCGTACTGGGAACACGCACCACTAACTTAGTGCGGGGAGCAGGAATGGGCCTGACCGTACTGGGAACACACACCACTGGCCTTGTGCGGGAATCAGGAACGGGCCGGACCGGACTGGTGACACACACCACTTGCTTGGTGCGAGGAGCGGGACTGGGTTTCCTCATAAACCTCCGCTCCCTCTGCTGCCTACTCAGTTCCTCTCGCCGTGCCTCTACACTCTCCTTCTCCCTCTTGACCAATGGCCCCCGTAACCTGGTGGCCTCCTCTCCTAGTCCACAAACTCGCCCTGTAGCTGCCTCCAGCAGCCCCGTCGTCCATGCCGTGTGCCCCCCCCCAAAAAAATTATTGGGGTTGCCTCTCGCCTGTCCGACGACGACACTGTTGGCGCCGTACCTCCTCTCTCGCCAGGGCTTTAACTTTAGCCCATGGCCCTTTGCCCGCGAACATGTCCTCCCAGGAGTCAATGGTACTTCCTGTTTGTGTTTTTGCTTGTAAGCAAAAATCAGGAGGATAGCGTTATGGTCAGATTTGCCAAATGGAGGGCGAGGGAGAGCTTTGTATGCATTTCTGTGTGTGGAGTAAAGAGAACATTTGGATTTTTTATTTTTTTTTGTTGAAGTTAGGCACTCTCACTCTGTGTGTGTGCTGTGCGTGCGTGCGTGTCAGTAATGATTTGGATACCCTTCCCTCAGACCTCACCTCCCCACCTTGCTTCAAATCAATGAATGAGTTCCACAGGGAGCTATAGTAAAGCTCATTACAGTAAAGAGTGGAGAAAGCAGTCAGTGGCTCTCCAAACTAAGAGCACCACCTGTCTGCTCCACACAGACTTGCCGACATCGTATTTCATTATGTGTATGCTATTCAGAATATTTGCCACTAATAGACTGTGCACTTAAAGATGGACATCGATCAAACAGACATGTTCATTGGTTATTGATGCCAAGCCACTGCCGGTTAAATTACAATCTGTGTCTTCCCCTAGTTAAGTGCCTGTTGTGTTATATTTGGTTCCCAGTCCCAGTGGTGTGGAGGAGATCTGATTGGCTGTGTTTTCTCAGTTCTGTAACAGGAAGTGTCCTGACTAGCGGGGGTTGATAGTCTCACTACCTCAGCTGCCCTCTCACTCTGCTCAGACTACTGTTGGCTTATGTCTTGGCACAGGCTGAAATGCCATCAGTGGCAGCACCATATCCGCTAACCACCCCTTCACACACTCTAGACTCTCCCTTCTCTCAGAACATAGGCCTAGTCTCCCTTTCACTTTACAACTGTACCAAATGTACCCAAGATCTGCTTGATAAGATTTAGTAATCTTTTCCTGTACAGATGGCCACCCGAAGGGTAGCCTATTTTGATGTGGATCTGGAATACTTTATCTAATACCGTGGGCCATGTTTCACTTGTTTTTATAGAAATAAGCTAAATAAATTAAACCCGTACTGAATATATAGGCTAATCGTGATTCAGTTCTACTTTATAATTTCAACCAGCAGAGGTCACAATGACTGAAGCATTTTTGTCATACCCATGTATTCATAATAGTATTTACACCCTGTTCTCTCTCTCTCTCTCCTGTCCATCGTAGGCTGCAGGTATAGCAGACAGAGCCATGCTGAAAGCGGGCATGGCCAAGGCAGCGCTGCCCAAGCCAGGGCTCCAGGAGAGGGCCAAGCAACACTCCCTCGCCCCCTCTACCACCACCACAGCTACAGGCATCAAAACCTCCAGATCCTCCAACACCCTGGCCACAGACTTGCGCCTCAGCAGGGTGAGTGGTGCCAGACACAGTAGATGACAGTGGCACCACTAAACACACCCAACATCTCCTTGATGAATGGTGGGAGGTTGGGAGTGGGACAGGTGGGAGGGAGATAGGGGAAGATACCACCACTTACATTTTTCTAAGAGCGTCTCTGTCCATTTGGACGATTGAAAGAAACGTTCAATTGAATTAGCTTACCTCTGCATCACCTGTAGACACTGACCTCGGCAGAGTGTCACAAAGCATACACACTCTTAGGAAAAAAGGTGCTATCTAGAACCTAAAAGCGTTCTTCGCCTGTCCCCATAGGATAACCCTTTGAAGAACCCTTTTTGGTTCCATGTAGAACCCTTTCCACATAGGGTTATACATGGAACCCAAAAGGGTTCTACCTGGAACCAAAAAGGGTTGTACTGACAGCATGACAAGAATGCAGTGACAACATGATTTTTTGCCTAAGAGTGCTTTTACAATTTAATAGTAGTAGATTGTGGATGTTTTCCAATTGGTAAGGTAATCTGTGGTTTCGTAAGTCCTGACTGAGTGTGTATGTATGTGTGTATTGTTGTAGCTGAAGAGGGCCAGTAGTGATGACACCCTGGCCAAGCCTGCCCTGGGTGCAGCAGCCACAGGCTCCCGCATGAAGAAGACTGTCACTGTAGGGGCCATCTCTGACCTGGCCGATGCAAGACCTCGCAGCCTCTCAGGTAAGGGAACCATAGTTCAGTGCACACACACACACACACACATTTTGTTATTCTATCCTTGTGGGGACCTAAAATGTATTTCCATTCAAAATCCTATTTTCCCTAACCTTAACCCTAACCTTAACCCTAACCCAAACCGTAAACCTAACCACTAACCCATTACTCTAACCCTAATTGTAACCCTAACCCTAAACCGAACCCCTAAGCTTAAAATAGCCTTTGTCCTCATGGAGACGTGGGGATTTTAGGTCCCCACAAGGATAGAAGAACAAACCCACACACATTCGGAAAGTATTCAGACCCCTTCCCCTTTTCCACATTTTGTTACGTTACAGCCTTATTCTAAAATGGATTAAATTAATGTTTTTCCTCAACAATCTACACACAATACCCCATAATGTCAGGGTGTCAGTGTGATGCGGTAGGACGAAGTCAGGCGCAGGACACAGAGCTAATCGAAAGCGTACTTTACTCGTAGGAACCGTAAATAACATAACCTCCACGCAGGGAGGAAACAAACCCGCTCACCAGACGACAACCAAACATGAACAAACACGCACAACATACAGTGGGAGCCAGAGGGTTAAATAGGGAAGTAATCAATACCTAATGGGAACCAGGTGTGAACAATAAAGACAAGACAAGTAGAACACAGAAACATAGATCGGTAGCAGCTAGTACTCCGGTGACGACGAACGCCGAAGCCTGCCCGAGCAAGGAGGAGGAGCAGCCTCGGCTGAATCCGTGACACATAATGACAATGCGAAACAGTTTTTTAGAATTTTTTGGGAAATGTATTTAAAAACAGTAATACCTTATTTTAAAAAGTATTCAGACCCTTTGCTATGAGACTCGAAATTGAGCTCAGGTGCATCCTGTTTCCATTGATCATCCTTGAGATGTTTCTACAACTTGATTGGAGTCCACCTGTGGTAAATTCAATTGATTGTACATTATTTGGAAAGGCACACACCTGTCTATATAAGGTCCCACAGTTGACAGTGCATGTCAGAGCAAACACCAAGCTACGAGGTCGAAGGAATTGTCTGCAGAGCTCCGGGACAGGATTGTGTCGAGGCACAGATCTGGGGAAGAGTACCAAATATATTTCTGCAGCATTTAAGGTCCCCAAGAACATAGTGGGCTCCATCATTCTTAAATGGAAGAATTTTGGAACCACCAAGACTCTTCCTAGAGCTGGCCGCCTGGCCAAACTGAGCTATCGGGGGAGAATGGCCTTGGTCAAGGAGTGACCAAGAATCCGATGGTCACTCTGACACAGCTCCAGAGAACCTTCCAGAAGGACAACCATCTCTACAGCACTCCACCAAACAGGCCTTTATGGTAGAGTGGCCAGACGGAGGCCACTCCTCAGTAAAGGGCACATGACAGCCCGCTTGGAGTTTGCCAAAAGGCACCTAAAGGACTCTCAGACCATGAGAAACAAGATTCTCTGGTCTGATGAAACCAAGATTGAACACTTTGGCCTGAATGCCAATCGTCACGTCTGGAGGAAACCTGGCACCATTCCTACGGTGAAGCATGGTGGTGGCAGCATCATGCTGTGGGGGTGTTTTTCAGCAGCAGGGACTGGGAGACTAGTCAGGTTCGAGGAAAAGATGAACGGAGCAAAGTACAGAGATATGCTTGATGAAAACCTGCTCCAGAGCGCTCGGGACCTCAGACTGGGGGCGAAGGTTCACCTTCCAACAGGACAACGACCCTAAGCACACAGCCAAGACAATGCAGGAGTGGCTTCAGGACAAGTCTCTGAATGTCCTTGAGTGGCATATCCAGAGCCCGGACTTGAACCCAATCAAACATCTCTGGAGAGACCTGAAAAAATCTGTGCAGCGACGCTCCCCATCTAACCTGACAGAGCTTGAGAGGATCTGCAGAGAAGAATGGGAGAAACTCCCCAAATACAGGTGTGCCAAGCTTGTAGCGTCATACCCAAGAAGACTCGAGGCTGTAATCGCTGCCAAAGGTGCTTCAACAAAGTACTGAGTAAAGGGTCCGAATACTTATGTACAGTGGGGAGAACAAGTATTTGATACACTGCCGATTTTGCAGGTTTTCCTACTTACAAAGCATGTAGAGGTCTGTAATTTTTATCATAGGTACACTTCAACTGTATGATTTTTAAGTAATTAATTTGCATTTTATTGCATGACATAAGTATTTGATACATCAGAAAAGCAGAACTTAATATTTGGTACAGAAACCTTTGTTTGCAATTACAGAGATCATACGTTTCCTGTAGGTCTTGACCAGGTTTGCACACACTGCAGCAGGGATTCTCCAGATCCTTCAGGTTTCGGGGCTGTTGCTGGGCAATACGGACTTTCAGCTCCCTCCAAAGATTTTCTATTTGGTTCAGGTCTGGAGACTGGCTAGGCCACTGCAGGACCTTGAGATGCTTCTTACGGAGCCACTCCTTAGTTTCTTTGAGACTGTGGTCCCAGCTCTCTTCAGGTCATTGACCAGGGCCTGCCGTGTAGTTCTGGGCTGATCCCTCACCTTCCTCATGATCATTGATGCACCACGAGGTGAGATCTTGCATGGAGCCCCAGACCGAGGGTGATTGACCGTCATCTTGAACTTCTTCCATTTTCTAATAATTGCGCCAACAGTTGTTGCCTTCTCACCAAGCTGCTTGCCTATTGTCCTGTAGCCCATCCCAGCCTTGTGCAGGTCTACAATTTTATCCCTGATGTCCTTACACAGCTCTCTGGTCTTGGCCATTGTGGAGAGGTTGGAGTCTGTTTGATTGAGTGTGTGGACAGGTGTCTTTTATACAGGTAACGAGTTCAAACAGGTGCAGTTAATACAGGTAATGAGTGGAGAACAGGAGGGCTTCTTAAAGTAAAACTAACAGGTCTGTGAGAGCCGGAATTCTTACTGGTTGGTAGGTGATCAAATACTTATGTCATGCAATAAAATGCAAATTAATTACTTAAAAATCATACAATGTGATTTTCTGGATTTTTGTTTTAGATTCCGTCTCTCTCACAGTTGAAGTGTACCCATGATAAAAATTACAGACCTCTACATGCTTTGTAAGTAGGAAAACCTGCAAAATCGGCAGTGTATGAAATACTTGTTCTCCCCACTGTAAATGTAATATTTCCATTTTTTATTTTAAATAAATTAGGAAAAATGTATACAAACCTGTTTTTGCTTTGTCATTATGGGGTATTGTGTGTAGATTGATGAAGGGGAAAAAAACAATTTAATCAATTTTAGAATAAGGCTTTAACATAACAAAATGTGGAAAAAGTCAAGGGGTCTGAATACTTTCCGAATGCACTGTATGTACATTCATGCTACACACACACACATCACAACTGCTGCTACCTGACTCTTATTATTATTATTGCTAAATACTGCACAATTTAAACACTGCCCTCCAATCCCCCCTTCCCCAAAACACGTGTAAATATTGGACTATAAATTGTGTATTATACTGATACTAAAATGTTTATTCTAATCTACTGAGCCATTTACTTTACGTTCATATTCTTATGTTTTCTTATTTCTTATTGTTTTTGCATTGTCGAGAAGGAACCTGCACATACTACTAATGAAACTTGAAACACACACACAATCACACATACCTTTTACTTCTTCTTTCTTTGTTGTCCATATGAAACAATATTCCACCTGAAAAGAAATGTAAACTCTGGGTCCTTCCTACAAAAAGTGACTTAATGCCAATCAATCAATATTATTCTGATATTTCACTGCCTATCAAATATTGTAGTTGGCTTTTTGTATGCTGAGTCGTCTGTCCATGTGAAATAATCACCATCACTGCATTTACGTATCAGAAAGGCTAATGGGTTTTTTCCAGTAATCAGTTCAGAATCACAGTTCACTCCTTCTTGTAGTCCCTGTTACTGCTGATCTCATTTTGCTCTGTGATGTACAACCAGGGAGACATAGGGTACAACTTCCCCTGATGGCCACTAGAGGGCGATAGATCATCACTCTGATTTGCTAAAAAGGCTCAAGATCTAGAACACAAGCCATAAAGAACTTTCCCTGAAATCCCCTCTTTATTTTCCGTATCAGTTTGGTGTCGAGCTGGCCTGTTGGGATGCAGGTGGTTGTCTGAGTAGTCTCCTATTGTTTCTTGGTCCAAACCTGGCCATTTGTTCTGCCATGATACGGAAAATATGAGGACTTCTTTTCCAATAGGATATGTCTGAGCTTATTGAAAGGGAAAGAATGATCATCATGGTTCTCCTTCGAGAGCTTTTTGTGTATGTGTGTGTGTGTTTGTAAGTGTGTGTGTGCGCGTATGTGTCTTTGTGTGTATGCGTTAGTGCAGCAAGCGTGTGTGTGTTGGGTTGTTGTTAGTGTGTTACACACTCAGATGTTTAGTGTTAGGGACTGTCAGTCGGTGGTTCAAACATGGATGAACATGAGGCCATGGAACAAAAGAACACCCAGAACATGTGTTTGACTGAGTTGACTGTGTTGGAACCTCAACAACAACCATAGCAAATTAACCCAGTGCTCTGTCATTGTGACAGCATAATACTGTAACTGTATCACACTTTCACCCACGGGACACATACTGTACACATCAATCATAAAGATAGATCTCTCAATTACAGCAGTCATCCATTATAGGTTATTTTTTCTAAGTATTTTGACTACTTCACTGTTTAAAGTCATTTGGATTTGCCCTAAATTTAGATTAGATTCAACTATACTTTATTGTCTGTTTTGCACTGAAATTTGAATTGCATTATATGTTCCACGTCACATAAGTATTTAGTGCATTATTGTAAGGTTCTGTATTTGTTTTCTTAGTTCACCTTGGTTCTTGTACATAGCCCTGTTTCTTTGTGTTCTTGAACGTAGCCCTGTCTTTCATTTTTGTTCATTGATTTCACCTGTGTTAGTTACTCACTTGGTCTCATCAGCTCCTTATTTACTTCAG